AGACATTTATAATTGAGGAAGTTGTGGTTTTGTCATTTTAAAATATGTTTTATTGCTTATTCTTTCAATTAGACATATAAAACGTTGACAGCAGCACAATTATTAGTTGTAACCCAACAAAATTAAGTCAGATCCTCTGGAAAAGTTATTTTTCCCCTTCTTTTGTACTTTGTGCATCTGTTTATTTTTATTTTTTTTTTGCTTTTTTTTTTAATTTTTTTTACTTTTAGAATTTGTTCACAAGATCTGACTGAACTTTAATTTTTCAACCTGGATTACTGAGCATGCATCAGGATACAATTGTTAAGTAGCATTTTCAATGCAGAGTTGTTGTTTTTTTGTATTTTGCATTTTGCTCTATGGATGTAATGGACGCTCATCAGAGACTCTACTTCCTCACACGCCTGAGACGAGCTGGTCTGGGAAGCTCAGTCCTCACCTCCTTCTGCAGGTGTGCAGTGGAGAGCATCCTGTGCTCCAGCATCAATGTGTGGCATGGAGGCTGCAGAAAGAAAAGCTTTGCAGAGAGTGGTGAAGGCTGCACAGAAGTCTGTTGGAGTCAGTCTCCCACCATCACAGACATCTACACCTCTAGATGCAGGAAGAGAGCCACCTGCATCATGAAGGACCTCACTCACCCAGCACACACGCTTTTTGCCCCGCTCCACTCAGGAAGGAGGTTGAAGAGCATTAAGTGTAGAACCACTAGACTGAGGAACAGCTTCTACCCTGAGGCTGTTGGACTCATGAATATCTAACCAGAATAATCACTGTGAAAAATCACATCATGTTGCTGCTGATCTGTTTCATGTTGATGTGTTCATTTGTACTCATCTGCTCACACAGACTCATGTTCTTGTTGCTGTTTGACGTAATGTTTTTATGCTATTAGTGCTTAGTGTATTTTTAGTTGATGTTTTTCTTAGTTCATATCTTAGATCTTATTACTGTTTTTTTTATTTACATTTTATTGTTGGATGTAACTGGGACCCTGCATACATACCGGTAATCTCGTTCCACCACATGTCCCACATGAGATGCGAATGACAAACAAATCTCTCTGACTTTGACTCTAATGAGTAATCTTCTTGTGAAGTTGGTGGAAAAATTGTTTTATTTATTTATTTTGTATTTGTATCAGTTCAGCATCATGTAATTTCACCAATTAACTAACTTTCACTAACAACAAAGTCCATGCTCAATAATCCAGGTATAAAATCCAAAATTTTTCAGTCAGGTCACCTGGACAGTTTATTTATTTTTGTGCTGAAACGTTTCGTCTTCAATCCAGAAGGCTTCATCAGTCAAGGAAACACGCAACACAAAACTGATTCTTCCCCAAACAGCTTACTCCAAAGTGGAACAAAACAGTTATGTTGGTGCTAAGATGGTGTCTTTGGCACGCCCCCTTGTCTATTGCCGGCCCTCTTCCTTGTTGACAGTCGTGTCAAACTGGTTGAAAGCAACAAAATCCACTACTTTTTAAAGTCACAATTTTTTTCTTTAATGTTTATTAATTGTAGCTGATTGTTCATATTTATCAAGCACAAATTAACAAGTGCAGTTACCCTCTATTCTGAAAATAAGAAACTGCTCACAGTGCAGATAAAATTATTTTCAATTCACAAAATTAAGGAATTAAAAAATATTAAAAATAACAGTAACAATAAAAAATGCTTATATTTAACACTAGAAGACCTGTTTAATGCGTTTGGCTGCATGTCTAACCATAATATCCGTCCATCCATTATCTTTAACCACTTCTTCCTTTTCGGGTCACAGGGGTCACTGGTGCCCATATCCAGCAGTCACTGTGTGAGAGGTGGGGGACACCCTGGACAGGCCTCCAGTCCATCACAGCGACACATAGAGACAAACGAGACAAACAACCATTCACTCTCACTCACACCTAGGGACAAATTAGAGTTACCAATCAGTGTAACATGCATGTTTTTGGTCTGTGGGAGGAAACAGGAGTACCGGAGAAAACCCACACATGCACGGAGAGAACATGCAAACTTTATCCAGAATCTGGCGACCTTCTCACTGAGAGGAGGCAGCTCTACCAACTGAGCCACCGTGCCGCCCCTGTCTAGAATAAGATTTGGAAAATTGGAGTTGGGAATTAGCACTCAACTGCTAGTTTGTTCTGAAATGTTATACGTTTATTTTCTGAACTAAATATTTTTAGATTATGCTGATTTTCAGGATATTTATTTATTTATTACTTTTGTTTTAAACAGGCAGTCTCATTTACAAGAGACACTTGTAACACAGACACAGAATCTGTAGAAAATCTAGAACAGATATGCCATCTGCTCTACAATCTGCCCTGCTGTAGGTCTGTAAATTCATAAATGAACAGACCAAATGATACTCATGGTGCTGACTACTGAAGGGAGAAATGTTCAATCTGTTAATCGACATACGGTCTAAGAAAAATTAACGAGTGGCCATAGCTCTAAACAGGCATGATTTTTTTAATTTCATTTGTTTTTCTGCAAACAGTCATTGACCAGTAATGAGAGCAAAGCAATTAGGTAAAAGTAGTCTTTATTTGTTGAAAATTACACCTCCAGTAGAAGGATGTCTCGACGTGGATGAAGATGTCTGCATGAAAATAACACTACCAGAGCTCCCCGTAATTCATGCTGCACCGTGACCTTCAAAGCTGAACTACAGTGTGACTGTACACACTGTAGGTCGTGTGACATGAACCTGGTCTGTCTGCTCACTTACTGACAGGCTGAAAGGATGGCCTTTATTCACCCCGAGCAGCCATTATTCATCTCAGACTCTTCTTTCTGTTTGCTGAAAGGGCCGTGTGGCCTCCTGTGCCACTGCAGCGCTCAGCAGTGTGGAAAAGATGTTGCACAGTTCATAGCTGCATACCTGTCATCAGACAAGAGGTCTTCAGCATCAACACCACTCCTGCTGGGAGCTTTGTCATGATCATGATGAAGAGGGGGATGATGTCAAAGAGCGCCAGTTACAGATCATTACCAGACAGTGCCACGGCAGAGAAAGACAGTGGAAACAGAAAACACCCAGGCTGTAGCATGATGACATTGCTGAAAATGATTCAGATAACATTTTTAAGCAAGTACATTATGATCCACATTTTATTGATGTTTACCAAACCCATCATAGACTAAGGCACTCAAACGACTTAGCTGAAATGGGTCGAAAGACTGTTTTAAAGAAAATATTGCTTTAGAAACTACCTGACCATAAACTGAAAGCTGTATGTGAAAGATGTATCACAATTTTACCAATATCCAGTAGTAATACCATACAGTTTGTGCAGTAAATAGATTTGAATACAACTATTAGTTTTTCCTACCGTAAGTCAACTATAACAGTACACATCAACGTCACACAAGTAAAGAGTAAAAACAGTGTTAAATATATTAAATGTTCTATTAGCAACAGTCGTATTGTTTAGTGTTAGCATGTCTTGACAGATTGGCAGTAAGTACTTAACTAACCTATCTCTTATGAGTCATCAAGTTGGAGAAGAAGTCTGACAAAAGTATCGTGGAACATGGCGCAGATGTAAGGAAATGCAATTTAATGTTACAGTGATTAACTTTGTATCTGATATGTTTTTACAGACATGTTTAGAAAGAATGGACTTTCAAAGGTGCAGTTCAGCTTTAGGTATGATGAGTTTTGTTCAGGCAGTTTTTAATGTGACATTTTTAGCAGGGCTTTAAAGTTTTGACTTTTTATTGCGTTCGTGGAATGGTTTTTAAGGTATTCAGAGTCTAACCTGTAGTAGACAGCAGTCAGACAGAGCTCAGTTTGGAGAATTGGGCTGAAGTTTTTTGGTTGCCAAGTCCATTTCTTATTGCCTTTACTTTTTAAGTCCCATTTAGTTTTAGAGCATTTCTTATACTAAAAACTGGACTATGCATCAACAAATGTATGAAAAGTTACTTTGCATACAGTAATGACCTACTTTGTGCCAGGACACTCTATGATGTTGTGTTGCATAAACAACACTCAATGAATTTTAACTGTGTGATATTTTATATTACCCAATGTGAGGTAACTAAAAATGTCTTTGTAATTTTGTCTTAAACAACAGTGTGTTATTGAGTTGAGTAATTTTGATGAAAAAATTACATTTACCTAAGATGTTATTAATATTAGGCCCTAAAAGGTGGTCAGACTGAAAACATAATACCTTATTTTTCTTTATAACTGTAATTTTGGACGCTTTTGTGAAAAAGTTAAAATAAATGTGACCCCTGTGTCAGTTACCTATGGAGATTTTTTTTTTTTAATTTGTATTTAGTTTTGTCATTTGAAAATAAATCAATAAAGTAACTTTGTGACTTCCAAGCGTTTTTGTCCCTTCTCTGTTCACTTACAGTAACATATTATAACTCAGACACATTCAGGGGCGGCTGTGGCTGAGTGGTTAGAGCAGTCGTCCTCCAATACAAGAGTTTGGGGTTCGATTCCACCAGCAGTCACATGCCCAAGTGTCCCTGGGCAAGACACTGAACCCCTCATTGCCTCCGATGTGTGTCCCATCAGTGAGTGAATGTGATGAAGCACTGATTATTCTTTGTACAGATCTAGTAGAGTGCTGTATGAATGAGCAAATGACAGCACAGATTGTAGTGTAAAGCGCTTTGAGTATCTTGATCAGATAGAAAGGCGCTTTACAAGTACAGTCCATTTACCATTTTTAGATACCATTTGCACACAAAATGGTAGAAACTGTAACCTGACAAGTGCAGATGAATACTACGCTGTTTTACTGTTTTAGACTGCTTTGTATTATATTAACATCATTAAAAATGCTGAAAATAACTTAAAAGTAGACATTCTAATTCTAAAATGTTACAAACTTCAACAAATGTACAATTATGTGACAAGTAGATGGATAAATTAAAATAAAAATATTTTTTTTTGTCACAACTAGATCAGCACTAAATGGGAAGGCAGGTGAACCAGGCAGCTGCCGGTAAAAGTTCAAACTTGGACGCCTAGGAGGGAAGCATCGGGAGAAAGTGAGTGGACGGGTGTCTTCGTCGAGCCTTGTGACCTCGCCGTGGTTTTCCTCGTCCGTTCAGAGAAACAAACATCTGTCTGCCACCGTGTTTCCAGCGAAGCGAGGCGTATGTGTTGTAGCCATTTTCCTCAATGCGCTCTTTAAACTTGCAGCTTGGGCTGTACTTCACCTGCAGTCAGTGGGAGGGAGAGGACACGTCATGGAGGTCTTAACATATAACTCTACAGGTGAGAGCAGACTGCTTTTACTGCTGTGCTGTCTAAAGCCATCTTTCAAGGTGATTGCAGGTGACATTTTCTATTTACAAACTATTTAGATTGTTCATCTTTTTGAGCTCAGGGCAGCACAGTTGCACAGTTGGTAGAGCTGCCACCTTTCAGCAAGAAGGTTACCGGATCGAATCCCACCAGGGAGGACCCTTCTGGGTGGAGTTTGCATGTTCTCTACGAGCATGCATAGGTTTTCTCCAGGTACTCCGGTTTCCTCCCGCAGACCAAAAACATGAATGTTAGGCTGATTGGTAACTCTAAATGTTACCTAGGTGTGAATGGTTGTTTGTCTTGTGTGTCCCTGTGATGGACTGAAGACATGTCCAGGGTGTCCCCCGCCTCTCATACAGTGGCTGCTGGACATGGGCACCAGTGACCTCTTTTTGAGCTCATGAGAAATTTAGGAAAGTTAAGGTACTTGCACTTGCCGCAGACCTCCAAATATTTTTCAATAGATATTCACAATGAACATTTCTGATACACTAACCTGGTATGGATTTTGTCAGAGGACAGCGACAGCTGTCCCTTTCTAGAGATAATCTTTTAGTTACTCAAGAAAAAAGCTTTACAATGAAGGTTCTATTAAAAATGGATATTTGAAAGCTAATCTCAACAATCACCTTTTTTGGAAGGACCATCTTTCAATTGAACATTCTGCTTAACTATTTTTATTTGGGTACTAACAGCTTGAGACATGAAAAAAATAAACAATCTAAACAATCTGAATAAAATATTGTGTTGTTATGCTTCAGATTAATCTTCTCTGCCATAGTGTCCAGACACTTTTGACTGTGCTTCTCTTGGCATTTCATTTTAATGTACACTTAGCAAACACTTTATTAGGTAAACCAATTCAATTGCTTGTTAACACAAATAGTTAATGAGCCAGTCACATGACAACAACTCATTGCATTTAGATGAAGGGCCTCTCTGGTCCTTCAAGGACCAATAAGGCCCTAACTAAATGCATCTAATGAAGACAACGTTCTGAAGTTCAAACCGAGCATAACAACAGGGAAGAAAGGGCATTAAAGTAGCTTTGAATATGGCATGGTTGTTAACACCAAATGGCTTGGTCTTAGTATTTCAGTAACATATGCTCTAATAGGATTGTCACATACAACCATCTTTAGCCTTTAAAGAGAATGGTCTGACAAAGAGAAAATAGTCCAGTGTGCACAAACAGGCCTTCTTTATGTCAGAGCAGAATGGACAGACAGGTTTAAGATGATAGAAAATCATTAGTAGCTCAATTAACCACTCATTTATGCCAAGGTATGCAGAATACCATCTCTGAAAGCCCAAGTTGAACGTTAAAGCAGATCAGCTATAGTACATCTCGTCCCACTTCTTTCAGCAAAAATGCAGGAAACTGAAAATCAAAACTGCAACAGGTTTACTAAAAGTGGACAAGAGATTTGACAAACGTAGGGATGGTTGTGCACAAAAATGTCAATAGGTCATCAGTTTCTGAAATAATCAGACCAGGTCATCTGGCATCAATAACATGCCACTTTCTAAGTCAATCAAATCTTCTTCCTTCAGAATTCTGATGCTCGGTTTTAACTTTACCAAGTTGTCTTCAAGACATCTAGATGCCTAAATGTATTGAGTTGCTGTCATGTGACTGGCTGATTGGCTGATTGTATCAACAAGCAATTTAATAGGTGCACCTATTAAAATGGCTACTGAGTGTATGGAAGATTTTTGACGTGGTGCTGGAATCCTGAATTTGCACATCTGTTCATGGATGGATTTTCTGCATTGAAGGATCCATCCATCCATTATCTTTGCCCACTTTTTCCTTTTTCGGATCACGGGGATCACTGGTGCCCATATCCAGCAGTCACTGTGCAAGAGGTGGGGGACACCCTGGACAGGCCTTCAGTCCATCACAGGGACACATAGAGACACATGAGACAAACATTCACTCTCTCACTCAGAACTAGGCACAATTTAGTTACCAATCAACCTAACATGCATGTTTATGGTCTGTGGGAGGAAACCGGAGTACCCGGAGAAAACCCATACATGCAGAAGGCTGTTTCTCTTAATTGCACTTGCTGACTGATTGCTTGTCCCTGATTTTTTTTTGTCCAAATCACAAGTATTTGAACATGTCTCTGCACATGTTATGTCTTGCTTTGCAAAATAACATTTAGCGATGGCATACAAGGACTTAAATGAGCACAGCTGGCTTTGTAACTTTGATATTTTTTTTTCTCTTCTATCTATTCTGACAGTGTAACAAGCCGGCTCAAGCTGCAGGTATTCTCAATTGTAGTCCAGGTGTAATGCCATGATTGATAGCAATACTGTGACCTCTTGCTGGACTTTCCAGTAGAGAATTTCACTTCAGCATCAGATATTTACTTCTCTCAGCCTCTCCTTCTCATCCATCAGCAGCTTAACCTCCAGAAACAATGTTGTCAAGTTGTATACTCACCGAGCCAAAGAGTGTGCCTTTTTTGGACATAGCTAAATACAGCCCGTTACTGACAGACTTGATGGCAACAACTCCCACACTGACAGATCGAATTTCCATCAAGCCTGGAAAATGAGAGGAAACAAGAGTTAGATGCATCAGGCTTTGTCAGTTTTACCATCAAAAACTTCTCTACCAGTGTTTGGTGAATAGGATACCAGACATATATGTCCTCTAAGGACTAGACCAAAGCAAAAAAATTTATATATATATATTAAATCACCTACCCTAACATAGATTATTTTAAGTGTATAACACTCAAACTCTGGGAATTTCAAACTAGTAAAACATTACAATATTAATATTAATTAGGTGAGAAATATTTTTCAGAACAAATCTTGATAAATGCATCTATAATCCAGACCTGACATTTTATTATAAACACTTTTTGGCACATACATACACACAACACGCAGTCTGAACCTTCCCATTATACATCTGCTTTCCTACATGCACCCATAAAAACCTTCACGCTCAAAACATGACACTTCGTCCTGATGATAACAAGTGTTGTTTACGAAAGAACATAAAGCCCACATCTACTCGCCACCTAAGTGGCCTCTCCAAACCACTTAACACCATGAAAAATCTGGCACGATTCTGAGATAATTGTTTCCTTTGGGCGCTGATTGCAAACAAGTCCCGCATGATTGTTCTCCTGATCTTCTTTTGGTCTACAAAACACATCCTTAGCCATGGCTATGGCAGAAAGATGTTTTTAACTTGACCTGCAGGGGAATTGCAAGGTCTTGAATAGGAGCTAATTGCAGGAGATAAAGAGGATTAGATCGTTTCTGTCTTCATTTGGTCACTTACACCTTCAATGGTACATTGATGTGGTTGCCTATCTGAACAGAAGGTCATATCTTTCTCCTGACTGATAATCTTGAAGGTTCACATAGAGGAAAATGTCTGTCTTGTTGCTCATAGACTTGCTGCACATGTATGAAATGTTTTTTTTTTTAAATGGAGAGTGTAAACGTAACTCCAGATCAAGGAAGAAAATGGTGGCCCAGAATTGGTAGGAGGTTGTACTCATTTAGTAGTTGAAGAGACTTTGCTTTCTTCTCAAGCACTGTAGTCAAAGTTTAAAGTCTCTTTTGTTGTACAAAGTACAAGTACATCCATCCAATATCTTTACCCGCCTTTTCCTTTTCGGGTTGAAGGGGTCACTGGTGCCCATGTCCAGCTATCACTGTGAGAGAGGCGGGGTACACCCTGGACAGGCCGCAAGTCCATCACAGGGACGCATAGAGACAAGCAAGACAATTTAGAGTTACCAATCAGCCTAACATGCATGTTTTTGGTCTGTGAGAGGAAACCGGCGCACCTGGAGAAAATCCACGCATGCACAGAGAGAACATGCAAACTCCACCCAGAAAGGGCCCCGATCGGGATTTGAACTGGGGCAACCTGCTTTCTGAGAGGCAGCAGCTCTACCAACCGTGCCACCGTGCTGCCTTGTACAAGTACATATTTTTGTAAAATAGTACAAATGCAGCACACTGGCTATCAAAATGCCCTCTTTTTTTTTATTTTCTAAAATCCATCCATCCTTATTTTACTCTCTTTTTCATGCGAGATTACAGGAAGGTACATGTTTATCACTTTTGCAACCAAAAGTTGTCCCTGGTCTTAGAATCTCCAGACATGATAAGGCTACTAAATTCAAGGAAAACATACAATATCCACAAAGAATCTCAAGAAAAATGAAAAATTAAAGCATCAAATGGCAATTATAGACATTTTTGTTTTAGAAACCTGTCTCAAGAACACTTTGTTCCCATTCATTTGGTTAAATTTGCAACAAAAAAAAACAAAAACAAAACCATAACTTGGAAGACACAAATTAATATTTTATCACCAACAAAGAACCTCTTACAGAGTTGCTGAAAACCTGATATTCAGTAGATAACCTTTGTCAGATATTTTTTTAAGTCAGAAAAAACTTTTCTTGTCCACTAATTGTCTACATTCCTCATTTCTTAAGCCTGCACAATTAACAGTCAGGTACAAAAATTGGACAGAAAAATTAATGAAAATGTAACCAGATATCAAAGATCTAAGGACAACCCCCAGAAAACCTGCAGAACTCGAAAACCAAGAAAGCACGAATTTACCTGCAAATCAAGAAAGCTTTAAAAGTTTACAAAATAATATGATATTCAAAAGTAAAGTAAAGATTACTTATGGGTAGTTTAAAATCTTTAAATGAAACATTACATAATTTTATAAACATTGTGAAATAATATTTCTTCTCAGAAAGGACAGAAAGATCGTTAATGCCATTGGATTATGTTACTGGTTTCAAAGTTAACCTGAAAAATTTTGAAAGATGAAAATTGAAGCGAACATCTGCTCATGATGTGTCAGTGTTGCTCCAAGCTCTGTTGTCCCTAACTCCAAACATCGTTGTCAAGCTTAAAGTAATTTACTCTACTACATAAAGAAGTACAAAAAGTAAAAAAAGACGAGATAAATACCAACAAATACTGTATTTCTTGAGTGTCTTTATTTCTGACAGTAACATGTAAATCATGGTTGTTTAAATATATATATATATATATATATTTTTTTTTAGCAAACAGCTGCAGGGAAGGCAGGAATGCCTTGGTCAATACAGATATGGGCCCAGCTGCACCCCCATCGTTCCAGTGCTGCCTCTGATGCCCTATGG